TCAAGCCTTCCCCCTTCCGCCGGTGATACACTACCCCATCACGGGTGCGCGATAAGCGATAAGCGGATAAGTTACCTAGTTGAACATCTGTTTACATTTCTCCGTTTGCGATCAATCAAGGGGTCGAGAGCCAAAAGGACTCCGAAGCGAGAAAAAATACGGCGTGTTTATTGACTTAACTAAGCGCGGGAAATCCTTTTTCGGCCAGGCTATCATTTCAACCACAAATTTTCGGGGGGTTGGATTAAATACTGATCACCGTTGCTGGCGGCAACGAAACCAGCCTCCCTCAATCCCAGCGCCACGCATTTTCCTCCTCCAAAACAACCCACCGCCCACCCTCCCAACCACTGCGTGCACCTTTTTTCTGAGTGCTTACTCCTTGGCCTATCATCTAGCTTATCCCGCTTCCTCATCTTGTTGCTCACCCCCCTTCTCCCCTTCAACCAATTAACCTCACCTTCATATCCACCTGTTACCGGAACTCCCGCTGCAAGAAACTATTCGTGCGGAGGTCTTGCAGTTGACAAATTGCTTCCACTATCCAGCCAGTTGAATTTCTGGAGGTCGATAGAGCCAGTCTCTTCTCCCCTCTTACAACTTTTCAGTCTTCCCACGCTACTGCTACGCTACACTTTACTACTACACCACCGCCATATTCTCACCAACTCAGTTTTAAACAAAATTTCTTTGTTCTTCACTCATTCGACTTGACTGGAGTTGTGCGGATTTTTTTGTTTTACCGACGAATCGTCGGGTATTGAGGTCGTAGAAATCCGAGAACGCAATGCCTAGGGCGGGAATCAAGGAAGCACATCCTGCCGGGATTTGGTCTGATCTTTCAGTTGATGGACCGGTGATTGGGACTTTGATTGTTGTGTTGGATAAGGCTGTGAGTTTTTCTTCAGTTTCCTATTACCACCCTTATCCTGACATCGGTCTGGTTGACGATTACTAACTTTTACAGAAAAATCTTCCCAACAGGAAGAAAATTGGCAAGCAAGATCCTTATGCCGTAGCCCGTCTCGGGAAGGAAGCAAAACGAACAGACGCAGATGTTCGTGGAGGGCAAACACCTCGATGGTAACCTTTCTCCTCGGTGATAGTAATTTCATGTTGATCTAGCTTCTAACCTGCCCAGGGATAAGGAACTTCGTTTCCCAGTACGGAATTCTCCAGATTACAAGTCTCTGAAAATCACTGTTTTCAATGACGATAAGAAAACTGATCTTATAGGCGAGACTACTCTTAAGCTGGATAAGATTTTGGTTAAAGGAGGTGGAACCGATGATGGTTGGAGAGGATTAAAGTGCAAGGAGAAATACGCTGGGGAGATTTTAGTTGAACTCACCTTTTGGGATATGAGGCCCAAGGAAACACCGCCAACAGAGAGGAAAAGATTGGAGCAGGATTTTGGAGCAAGGGAGAGGGAACGGGAAAGAGAGAAGGAGGCTCCGAGAAAGGTTGGAGGTGCTAGGGAGATGGTTAGTTCCAGGGATAAAACTGTAAAAAGACGGCCTTTACCATCGGATCCTACACGGTCTTCGAAGGAGGATATCAACCAGCCCGTGCCCGTACCAGAAAAGCGGACCAGACGATCGAGGCATTCCTATCATCCTGGATACGAGAATAACCAACCTCACCACCAGCACTTATATCCGGAACCCCAGCATCCCCAATATCGGGATCCCAGAGGATCTTCCAGGAACATAGCTATGGCACCTGATCCTTCGCCAGTGTCTATGGGCATTTATGATCCTTACGGAGATAATCAGATTCCTGGAGGAGACATGTTGGGCAAATTTGAAGATGATGACCTTCATGGGCAACCTCCTCCCCCGCCCCCGCCTACTCACCGAAGGCACTATGATGCGTCACCCGGCCATCACTCGCCTAACCCCTCGCATCCTCACCAACAAACAATTCACAAAAGGCACAAATCCCAACATCAATTGAAGCACTACCAGAGTGTCCCGGATTGGCAATACCATCAACAGCAGCAGCAACAACAGCAGCAACAATTGCAACAACAGCAACCTCATCGTCATAGTTCAGATCCCCGCGAGCGTGAGATGCATAGAAGTAACAGCTATGATCCACGACTGCCAGCTCAGGATCAATACGGTGGTTCTTACCCTGGGCCTCAAACTCGTTACCACGGCCAGGATGACTACGACGAATACGTGTATTCTGCAAACGCAGTTGCTTCAACAGCCAATCTACGACAGGAGCGTCCGCTTACCTACCATGAAGACAGCCCTGGGCTCTCATATGGACCTGCCCCATCAAGTTCCTTTGAGAACTTCGGGGGCGAAGACGGTGCTCCTCCTCCACCTCCTCCACCCCATGGACATAGCCCTGCTCCTATGCGTTTTGATGAGCCCAATTGGGGGAATCACAAGCCGAAGACGAAAGAGGAGGAAGATCTTGGACTCCCGAGCTATGAGCATTCTGTGCAACTCGCTCATCGACGATCGCATAGCAACATGAACGCCCATGCTCTCGAAGCGCGAAGACCTTCTGTTGGAATTGAATCATCGCCCTCTAGGAATGGAATGCCTATTCCTCCTAGTCTTGTGCCAGGCATTGATCCAGTTGTTGCGGAGCAAATGTCTGGAAGAATCGGGAACGAGAGGAGATTGAGCTATGTGGACATGTCTAATAATGGCCCACTTCAAATAGAGGGCCCTCAGTCCCACTCGCAGGTGATACAGCATAGATCTAGTCAGAACTATCACAGGCCCCAGGTTGAAGAAGTTCAAGATGTACAGCTCTATCAGCCACAGTTACTCCCCGAAGATCAGGTGGTGGGGCGGCCGATGACAGTGAAAAAGAGCCGCGAGCAGAGGACAGCGCCTATGGTTAAGCCTATGCCTATTCATGGAGAGCGGGATGATGCAGTGCCTGCAGTCGGAGCAACTGCAAACTCAGTCAAGCGGAACTCGACTTTGATTATCGTTGCACCTGACCGAAAGCCGGTGCCTCCTACTGAGCCAGTATTCGAAGGACTTCCGTTTTCGCCCGATTCTTTCGATCTGATCAACCCAGGTCCAAACGCCTCCCTGGAAGCTGCGATTAACGGTCTAGGTCCTACCTATAACACTCCTCAAGAAGCGGAAGACACTGCCAGAAGGTGGAATGCGGATTCCAAGAGAAGGAAGCTACCAAGTAAGATGATTGTTCCTGGCACTAACAGGGTTCTGGATGGTACCGATGTTCTGCCACCTGAGAGCTTCGCCCCTGAACCCGAAAGGCGAGGAGGTAGAAGCCCGCGTCCGCCACCACCTGTTCCGGCCGAGTATCGTCGTCATATCACGGGGAGACAGAGAAGTCCAAGTCCTCAGCCACCAAGGAGGGGAGAAAGGTTAGCTCTTACCGGCCCGGTGCCCCCACCACTACCCAAGAAGGTCAGCATCCGAGGTCCTTCTCCACAGCCGGATCGGGGTGAAAAGGAACGGGAAAGGGCCAAGCTCCAAAAGAGACTCAGGAATTCCCAGAGCATGGCTATCCTTCCTAGTAACAGTCGGAACCATGGCAGCTCTCGTGACAGATATTCAGTCGGACCTGGCGCAATGGTTATGTATAATCCGGAGAGCGAAAGAGAGCGGCAGATGGAAAGGGATAGGGACTCCCGAGCTCTTGTCCCGGCCAAGGGCAACGACAGATATGGCTATAATTCAGACCAGCCAAGGGGAGGTAGATCCCAACAGCGTCAGCCAGCTCCGCCTCTTCCTGCAAAAGTCCCAATCGACACGACTGGCATGAGCAGGGAAGACTACCTCCTAAGCCAGGAAATGAGTCTGATCAGCCTCGGGCCTAGTAATGGAGGACGCACACGCAGGGGAAGATATTAAGAAAGGCTAACGAGCGTCATGATATCTCACAATTCACGGAAAATAAGGGGCCAAAAAAATCGGCAATGAAGTATGATGAACGGATATCATGGGGGGTTTTTTTTTTAAAGTAGTCTGCTGAAATACGCAAGACTATTGTTTTATTCTATTTTCTTTCGGCGTGATTTTTTTCCCTTCATGTACCAATACCTAACTGTCGTTTAAGCCTAGTATATTATTATCTAGCCATCATATATCTTGGAAGGATTTCTTGTTTAATCGGCTGAGTTGATGGGCTTTTTTTTTCTTTTTTCTTTTCTTTTCTTTTTTCTTTTCTTTTCTTTCCATATTTTATTCAACATCTATGCGAAGTAACTTTGGAGAAAGAGAGATAGGGAATAACTTTTATACGGCGCAAGCTTGTTTGTTTGCCGCTCGCTACTCCGGGATAAGTTATTTGTTGTAATCCGAATCTCAAAGTAAAGTTAAGCTAGTAGTAGTTGATAGATGTTTGTTCCTGAGTAAAAGTGCTTAACAACGAAGGAATTGAATTGAAAAATCTCATGTCGAACGAGATACTTACAGTGCCATACCGTAACTTTACTACTTGGGGTTTTCAAAGATATCCGGAAATCTTGGCGTAGCCCAGGCCCAGAAAACGCCAAGATTTCCGGATACTTTTGAAAACGGCAAGTAGTTCTTAAAATTGATGGATTGAAGAGAAGAGAGGAGAAGAGAAGAGGTGGCTTCAACAAGCACCGTGCCGCCCCGAAAGTAAGAAATGCGCTGCGCTGAAAGCATAGAGTTTTGGCTTTGTAGCTCATCTGAGTAATTATCACTTTGCTTGGTATTTGGATAGCGTAAGTGGATGAGCCACCGCTGCCGTGAAATCACTTTCTTTGTAATCTTATGGCGTAGGTTAAAATAGTTTGCAAGGATTACAAAGTACTCGAGTATGGACGGTTAGTGATGAGACGGACAGGGGGTTTGAAGTCCGGCCGTTCCTTACCAACTTCAAACCCCCTGTCCGTCTCATCACTAACGTCCATACCCTAGTACTGTACGGTAACTGCTGTGCCGTATGATATCTTGGCCTTCACTGCCTTACTGTACTTGCACGCAACAATTGAAGCGAAAGAGTAGGAGAAAAAAAGAAAAAAAAGAAAGTGACAAGAGTGGGATTCGAACCCACGATCAGTTTCCCGAACCAGGTTGCGTGTTAAGTTAGTACTAACCTGGTGCCATGACCAACTCGGCCATCTTGCCATTTGGTGATTCCGGTCTAATTTTTGAGTGGAGGAAATTGATGCTTGATGTTGACGGGTGGGTTAGGGTTACAGGGGTGGCGGCTGTGGGCTTGTGTTATGATATTTGGCGTGGTTGAGTAAAATTGGGGCGTGGGCTGTTTATTAGTAGGAGTGGAGGTTTTTTTTTCTTTTTCTTTTTCTTTCTAAGTTTGGGGGATGGGGGATGGAGAGGGGTTGAGTTTTGGTGATGGCTGTGGATGGGGATATACAGTACGGTATTGATTTCTTGGATTGAGGGTTTTTTTTATACGATACAGTACGGTATCATACCGGTATTGGAGGTCTACTGTAACTTGTCGTATCCCAGCATCCTTTTGGCCCTTTTGTCATCCTTCCTGTATGAGTCCTCCAGGCAAATTGGGGTAAATACTACTGCATACGGTAGTACCGTAAAAACTCTTGCGATTCGCTACGGTATCTCCGCCACGCCGTATATCGCAGCGTTACCCCACAATAGGTTTAGGGTTTAGGTTGGCAAGTTAGCGGAATTACAGTATGAAAACCAGTTGACGAGATCCAGCACGTCCAACTGACTCATGCCATACCGTGAGAGGAAAGCATTAATCCTTCTCGGGAGCATTTGTCTCTGAATCCGGAGATTAGAGGCCGCAAGAGTTTTTACGGTATGTGCTGACCCCCGTGAATGGGAGTGATTAAGGTGTGGCGGTATCCAGCAATAAGGGAAAACCTAACCCTGCTCGCCTTACGAGTAGAAAGATGTGGTAACGCAAGGCTCTCCATCGTGAGGCTAACCTTTATGGTGTGATATTCATGCCCCGCACTTTCGCTTATGACAGTGCAATGATAAGTATCTTATTAACATACTTTGTTTGTGAGAGGCCAGGTTGATAAGTTATGGAGTTCCGCTCCCAAGTTACGGTATGGAGGACTGTGGAAACGTGGTCGTAGGGGTGGTGGCGGCTGGTTGTTTTAGGGTTTGTTGAGGCTGTGAGGTGGTATCATACAGGTGCCGATGATCAGGTTAACCTTAACTTTTTAACCATTCATATTAAGAACATACCGTATTATGTGGATGAAAGTTAAGTCTAAGGCAAGGCTGGTTGTTTAACTGCATTCCACTGCGTTACTAGATTACCCGATTACTACTGTATTATGTTAGTGCCAGTAACATCCTAAGACACAGACATGACTCGACGATATCATACAAATCTAGGCATCTACAGGACGAATGACTCTTTCTGGAACTCAATTCAGGTCTGGAAATCTGGAGGGTTCCGCTACGCGTGCATCTTACGTACTGGGCCGATATCATAACGTGTCGGTTTCCTCCTTTTTCCTTCTTTCTTCCTTTCTCCCCGTCTCCTGTTTTTGTCCCTATCTCTGTATCTTTCCGTGTTTCGTGGTCTCCTTTCATCCCTTGTTTCATCTCCCACACTGGTTGGTATGGCACTCTAGTGAACTTTTCATGATAAGGCGGTGTTCGAGATGTTTGATATAGTAATAGAGTAAGTGCTACTGTATGTATGGTACTTGTACAATGCTTGTTTAATGACTGAGGCGATATGGACTTTATGTTACTGATTTTCTTCCCGGGAGGGTAGTTGTACTGTTTTCTGGTTCTCTAAAGACGATAAGATCTCGCAATGAATTCTTATCGCATACGCAGGTATAGTATGAACGCCTTCCTTGTGACGGCGTAATTTACGCTTGACTTACTGTAAACAAGCAATTGGTAACTCCTTTCTCGCGGGTGCCAAGGAATGTTGATGACTCCGTGGGCTGCAATTAAGCTTTTCTGACCCATCCGATCACAGCCCCATTAGAAACTGTGTTAACTGGGCCTTAACATCCGATTCACAAAGCTACTGAGCTGATAAACATGTTTATCCCAACCGGTGCAGGTGCCGATAAGCCTTGTTGAGATGTCTACCTTGAGGCAACGTGCGCCGGATTGAAGAGCATTCAACACGATGCCCTCAGCGCCATAAGTTATCCGTGAAATTAACCTAAAATGTAGCTTTTTCCGAAAATTTGCTCCACTTATTCTTCACTACGGCCATCTTCAGCTTCAAATAATTCTATAAGAACCCCCCTTCAATCCCCCTTCGTAAATTCTCCATCCCAAACACATTCTCAACACCATACTATTATCATCATGACCACTAGAGTTACCTACGTCGACCATGGCTACCAGCAATCCCTTCCACTCGTTTCGACTACACTAAAGTCTCACATCGTGGATCTCACCGCCTCCCATACACTTACGCAAGTGTATAACAATTCTTCGGATAGGGATATCTCTGAAGCTCAGTATACATTCCCGCTCTATGAGTCATGTGCTGTCACCGATTTTCAGGCTTTGGTTGGGGAGAAAACCATTAGGGGAGTGGTTAAGGAGAAGACCGAAGCAAAGGCGATCTACCAAGCAGCTAAATCTGCGGGAAAAGTCGCTGCTTTGTTTTCCCAGGACACCAGTGAGGTGTTTACAACTAGCGTTGGAAACATTCCAGCCGGTAATTCGGTGGTGGTGGTCATCAAGTATGTGCACGAATTGAAGCAAGACATTGAGGTTGATGGGGTTAAACTCGTCATTCCCACTGTCATTGCTCCAAAGTACGGGGCCGCGCCCTCCACCATGACCACAGGCTTGGTTTACAGTAATCGGTGGCGGACTTGTTGGAACATCTTCTCGCGAGAGATTCGGGATATCGGCAATGTTGACGATGCCGGACTCTCCATCTCTATCACGGCAACGATGAGCGGGCCAATTAGGGGTATCACTTCGCCTAGTCACCCCATCTCCGTTGGCCTCGGATCCCATTCTAGCGCCGACGATGCAGACTTCAATCCCAAAAAGGCGCATGCAACACTTGCTCTTGCTTCCTCATCTCTTACGGGGCTCGACAAGGATTTCAACCTCCTCATCAATGCCAACAATATCGGCGACCCCAGAGCATTCCTTGCCCCTCATCCGACCCTCAAAGATACGTCGGCGCTTATGGTCACAATGGTTCCGAAATTCGCCCTTCCTCCGCAAGGTCATGAAATCATATTCGTTGTTGACAGGTCAGGTTCAATGAATCATAAGATTGTCACAGTCCGATCCGCTCTTCAACTTTTCCTCGCCTCGTTGCCCGTAGGCTCATATTTCAATATTTGCTCTTTCGGATCCGTCCATTCATTCCTTTGGCCGCAATCCCAGAGATACTCGGAAGAGTCACTGACTGTGGCGAAGACTCATGTGATGGGGTTGGATTCCAGCTTGGGTGGAACTGAGATACTTGCGCCTGTGATAAGCACTATGAAGACGCGGCGACAGGATATGAGGACTGAAGTCCTTATCCTTACCGACGGGGAGGTCTGGAACACAGAAAGCATATTTCAATTTATTAACGAGTCTTCCAAGGACGGGAATGTTCGATTCTTCTCACTCGGTGTTGGAAGTGCGGTCTCACATAGTCTCGTTGAGGGAATCTCTCGAGCTGGCAGAGGGTATTCGCAGATTGTCAGTACCACTAGCAATCTCCAGAAGAAGGTCATGCGCATGTTGAAGGCAGCATTGACACCTCATGTGAATGACTGGGACGTGGTCTGGGCTGGAAAGCCTGAAAAGCAAGGCGCGACTCTAATCACTTCTGCTCCCACCACCATCGCTCCGATTTCCCTCTTCGACCCTAACTGCGACCCAGACAATATCCACGTTATTCCAACTAGCAGCACGCCCACTCTTACCCTACCAAAGGTTATCCAAGCCCCCACGATCATCCCCGCACTATTCCCATACTCCCGAACAACCGTCTACTTCTTGATATCCAACGGCGACCGACCGGAAAGGGTGTTCCTCAAGGGTTCTGCGCACGACACCAGCTCAAACACCATCTGTCCGCTTCAAATCGAAATCCCCGTGCAAATGATCACCTCCACAGGGGCGTCACTCGGCCTATATCAACTCGCTGGACGCAAGCTCCTCCAAGATCTCGAAGAAGGCAGACTTTCATACCTGGAAGGCATCTATGATAAAACAAAAGAGCCAACAAAGCACGCTGAACTAATCGTGAAAGAAGGAACAAGGGTCGGTGTCGAATTCGGACTAGCCAGCAAGTGGACTTCTTTCGTAGCGATCGCAGAGGACGAATCAACAGGGGAAGAGCAGGTAATCCAGCAACCGAAGGATAGCACGGATGTGCCTATGGCGGTAGAAACCCAAATCGGGGTTTTCGGGGCTTTTGCATCCCAAGCTCCTTCCTCCCAGCAACGCAAGCGTACGGGGTCAACAAATCGCATTTCCACTGGCATTTCACCTCAACAGCAACAGCAAGCGCAACAGGTGCAACAGGTGCAACAGATGCAACAGCAAGCGCAACAGATGCAACAGCAAGCGCTACAGCGAGAGCAAGCGCCACAGCCAGTGCAGCAACTGCAACATGTGCAATGCAACCAGAACCCACTGGTGTCACCGTTAGTGCAGCAGCGGATGCAACGGACACAGACGCAGGTAGCGACGGGACTTTATGCGGCAGGACCCTCAAGCTTCGGATCATCCCAGGCACCTGGTCCCAGCCCTACTACTAGCTTCGGACCACTGCAATCATCATCCGCTCACCATCAGTTGTCCACCCCAATGTTCGGTTCATTTCAAGCGGACACCGTTCCGTCCCTAGGGTACAGTCCGACCTCCCCATCTTACAGCCCCGCATCTCCAACGTGGAACTCGGGTTCTGATGCCCTCTTGAACAATTTTGACTTCGACTCATTCTTTGCCACTAGCGAGGCTTCCCCTCTTCCTCCTCCACCACCCGCACCTCGCATAGGAGGAGCCAGCCGGAATCGCGCAACCTGCAAGCAGACTGCTGCTCAAAGCGAGCCGTCCAATCTCATTGCCGGCCTCGCCGCCTTCCAGCAATTTAATGGCATGTTCAAGGCGGAAGGGAGGATATTCACCTGGCTGGGTTTGCGCAACAGCGGGTTGGAAAGCGCGCACGCTGATCCGGACCTTGT